CTTCGCCTGAGCCTTAAACTTGAGAGTGGGACACTTACTTTCTTGACGAGAGGAAGTGAGGAGAAAAATCGTGGAAAAGGGAAAACACAGGTTGTAGAGGGAGATACAAGTGAGTCAGAAGAGGAGGAAAGTGAGTCTGAAAAAGAGGAAAATAAAGAAAAAGGAGAGGAAGAAAAAGGAGAGGAAGCAATTTCTGAGGGGGAACCTCAGGAGGCAGTTTCTGTGGAAGAAGAGGAGACTCAGAGTGAGGGGGAATCTAGCTCAGAAAGTGAGAGTCTCGACCTCCCTTATACAGGAGGACTAAGGCGGAGTAAGAGGAAAATTGTCAAACCTGCTACTTCTACTCTAAAGCCTGTGATCATTGAAGACATTAGCTCTTCTGATCACTCAGACCCTGATTTCACCCCTACACAAGTTCCTTTTGCCTCCGAGCCATCTCCTGTTCCTGCCTCTCCCACAAACCAAGCTAAACCCTCTTCCCCTCCTGTTTCACCAAAACAGACTTCTCCCTCTCCCTCCCCAGCTTTTCCTACATCACAGCCTACAGGCTTTGCTGCCTTCTCTGGAACAAATGCTTCTGTTTTTGATATTCAACAGGTGAAAGCAGAAATGGAGAAGCTGGTAAAGATGGTGTGCACAAAGCTGGAGGACATGGCAAAGCAGCTGGCTTCTCTTCAACGCCAAGTGCAGGCTGTGGCAGATGCTCAGGCAACCAGTTTTACTGGGATGGAGAACAAAGTTGATGCTGCTGAGAAGAACATACTGCACAGCACTCAGGAGATATTGGAGACGATTAACAGGGTGGCTTTTGAAGAGGTGGAGGAAGCTTCCAATGACCCCAAAACCCCAGCTGATGAACCTACTTACTCACCATAATTGCAATTTCAAACTTGTCACTTTTACTTCTTTTGTTTTTGCTTGTTCCATTCGGATTTCAGTTTGTAACTCATAACTTTTGCTACTCTTTCCTGCTTTTGATTTTCGTCTATGGGAACTTGGCTCGTATTTTTCATATGATTGTGTGTGTTTGCTGATGATTTAGTACCTAACTTATTTTTGCCTTGCATTATTTGAGCTCACTATTCCCTACGTAGTCTAGTGGGAGTATAGCAAAATGTTTTTTTCAATCTTTTGATAATGCCAAAAGGGGGAAAAAGACAAACTTCATGGCGGCTAAGGTGTTTACCAAGGAACTCACACATCGAAGGTACAAACTTTTGCTAAGTTCAGTTTTTAAAGTCTTTGTTAATTTTTCTTTTGCTCAGTTTTTTTTTAAAAAAAAAAAAAAAAAAAAAAAATAATAATAAAAAAAAAAAAAAAAAAAAAAATATACTTTTTAATATTTTTCTAAGTTCTTTAATTGTTTTTTTGTTTTCATGCCTTACTTTAAATTTTTGTTGCATGCCTGGATGATTTTATTTACCTAAGTTTGTCAATGTTTGTCATCATCAAAAAGGGGGAATTTGTTGAGCCTTTTGGTTTTGATGGACAAATTGACAAACTCGACTAATGAATGTTTTGAGTCTTTGGTGAATAAAGGATTCAAGCAAAGTTCGTTCCGGAGTAGGAACTTGGATGCGGAGTAGCATTCTTTAAAAAGCCTCGTGCAAATCTCACGTTCTAGTTTTAATTGTGAGCACTCAATAATATAAAGTCGGAAAGGAACTCAATGACTTATGTTAAAGACTACTGGAATAAAAGTTAGTTTTAAAAGATAATTTCTTAAAGAAAAGATAATTTGTAAAAGTTTTAATAAAGATAATTATCGAAGATAATTATCTAGTTGTTTTAATAAATAATAAATTTATCTTTTCAAATAAAATCTTTTTAAACAAACTTTTGATAATCTTTTAAATAAAATATTTGATAAAGTTAGCAAGTGGTTTTTCTGTGAGAAAATCTTTTATACGGCTAATGGTTATCAAGTTGTTAGGATAGTGGTTTAATTAGATAAGGCTAGGAAACCTCTTCATGATCACAATCTGTCAAGATAACTCCACAAGTTGTTAGTGGGTTGTTGACATGTGGACGTGATTATGGTGGAGGTTAATGACTAAGCCTTCTCTATAAATACTCGTGCAAACTATCTCAGAAAAACATAACTCTTAAGCATAAAAATTCCAGTAGCCATCTAATAACATAAAGAGAGTTATTTTCCTTCATATATTCTTGAGTGCAATAGGTATTTGTAATCACAGATTGTATACAAGTACTTTGGGGTTGGGATTGTGAGTTTGTAAGGTGAGGTTAAGGAAGCTTCGTTGCTGAAGTCTTCTGTGAGAGTTGGGAACAAGTTCCTAATTTGGGGAACTTGTTAACGGGTTTGAATCTTCACTTGTACAGAGTTTGATTACATAGTGGAAATTTAGAAAAGCCTATATCTTCTCTCGTCATTATTTCATTTAGTTAAATTCCGCAAAAAGTTTTTAGATTTCACCTCAAATACAATTCACCCCCCCTCTTGTATTAGCCAGTTAGACTTTCATTAAATACAAGTTCTTTTTTAAAATTATAAAAAAAAAAAAAAAAAAAAAAAAAAAAAAAAAAAAAACTCGTATATATAATCAATAATAATGTAATCATTCTTTTTAAAATAAAAAATAAAAAATAATAATGTAATCATTCTAATCAAGTGTACTCTGTATAAACCTTTCTGAAATTCCAATCAATTTGATGATGATAAAAGTGGGATATAAATATCATGAAGTTGATATGAAACATTTTCCTCAAAGAAAAAAAAATGATATGAAACATCAGTTGGGTACGAAAATTGAAAAAGATAGGAGTATGAAAGATTAGTTGGACTTGAAAACCATGAACTTCATTCAATCATTCATACATATCAAGTTGCTGACCCCACCCACATGACAAATTTCTCTTGTCCAATTTCAACAAAGGTCTATTTTCATTCAGGCAAAAAGACCAAATAGCCCCAATATTATCAGTACATATCTCAGACAGTAGTGCCACACTATAACACCAACTGTCTGAATGGAATAACTGATAACTATGCAACTAAAAAGTACGGAATACTATTTTGGGATGCCCCGAAATCAATGAAAACAATGCAAAGATAAAAAAAGCTCGGTGAATTTTTCACCGATGACATAGCTCCTCGACATCTGTCTTTGGCTGAATCGCCTTGGCTGGGTTAACAAGTGATAAGGATCCTAGATATTCTCCTACAGTCTCCATCATCAACTATTCTTCCATCATAATCCTTATATTTCTCTAATAATATAATAATGGTTCAACATCTTAAACTACATTCAATTTTTGTTTTTAAGACAAAGCCTAACCTGAATATAATTATGGGAAGGAGGCAGCCAAAGCAATCATGTACTCCAGTAATGAAAGTGATGTAGAAGAGACCACTAACCAAAAAATTATGTTAAAGAAAACAAGGGAACCAAATAATAATGCAACCATATATCAAATAAGTAAATCACCAATAATAAGAATGAAATAATAGTCGTATTGAAAAACATCCAATAAAACGCCTCATAATATGAACAGAACAACATATTGTCTGGCAATTTTTAACAGTGCCGTCCGGATCAAGTTTTTTTTCATCAATTGAAATACGAAAATACATATCCGCAAGAGTAAGCAAGATAGAATGGAAGCAGACCAATAACAGATTAAAAAACGACCAAAGTATTCCCCTAATCTCGTGAGTATACACTATTAAGTAGACTAAACCATACAGAAGTTAACATGAAAGCAAACTCAAAAACCGTATCACAGGTAGCTTTACCTTCAGATTTCAGTCGAAGACAATTCAAAAAGACACAATATCACGGTAGCCCTATCTTCAGTTCTAAGTCCAAGACTTTACGAAAAGATGTTTATAGCACCTATACCCCCCTGGCCCCCTGCCATAACTCATAAGCATGTTTACTATTCAATTATTGAGACTTGAACAAGATTTTAAAGAAGAAAATCCAACTAAGTCAAGTCTTCTGAAAGGATGAAAAACGCCAATCAGACAAATGGATAAAACCCCTTTCCCCGGATTCAGCAATCAGCACACCACCGGAAAAAATTTAATGTTTATACAAACACAGTAACAGCGGCAAGTCGGCAACTGTGGTAGCATATTAGGAAAACAAAAGAAGTCAAAGGTAATACAACCTCTGTCCACAATCTTAACAATGCAGTCATATAATTCGTATTTGGAATTCATAATGAAAGACTGAAAGGTATCACGTAGGTGCCAAGACTACTAACATTTAGTTAGTAAAAGTCTTGATGGTTGGTATCCAAGACCTAAGATAAAACCTCATCAACATCACTACCCTATGTGGCTCTCCGCTCTCCAGAGAGAGAGAGAGAGAGATATTAGTCCATGTATGGTTGTATGGATAGTTCAAGATTAGGTTACAGACCTAAAAAGTAGCATCATTATATGGGGTTGGAACAAAAAAGAAACATGGTCAATAATTTAGAGACGGAGAGCATTGGTTTTCAATGCACTCATGTTATTCTACTTCATTACATTTTGTCTTGACTCTTGAGAGAGGCACATCAACCACTAGTGAAGCATAAGATATTAAAAACCTATAGAACTCTAAACCCTGAAGGCAATAAATTAAAATACAGTTCAGATGATATGCAACGATGCAAGGACATCCATTTCACGGAAACTCCCTCGGAATTTCTAGTGATGGTCCCATTATGTATACAATTTCAAGCTATGCTATCAAATCTCGCAGGCTAACAAAAAAATGAAGAATGAAAGATCCAAAAAACTTGTGAAACTGAAAGCTTCCTAACCACAACAAGTCATAGTGATGCTCTTTAAACACTAGGCAGAGGAAAATATGATTCAAATACATCTAAATTAAAGCAACTTCCTGCTGGGTCTCATTTGATGGTCCCCTTATGTATGCAATTTAAAGTTATGCTATCAAATCTTCTAGATCATAACCACACATAACCAAGAAAAGGAAAACTCCACAGTTTTATGAATGCTTACAATCGACCTAAGATTGTAGAGATACTCACTGAAAGTTAGCAGTATTTTCCAATTTATGTAAAGGGATAACATATAAACTCATTTAAAATTAACAGAAGGACCCGTATAAAAGAATATTGCTTATAGATATTTGAAAACAAAAACACACGTTGAACAGTTTTCATATGAACAAAAATGAACCAAAAATCTAGGTTGTGGTGATACAAACAACATAAATGCTTACAGGACAGAAGCATTCAGACTCTGGCGATCCTGGAGGGCAAATTCTTCGATCTTTACCCACTTGCTTCATTACGATTCTTGATTAATCAACACGCGCTGCTTCAAGGAAAAAATATTCTACAGGAATCGTACTGGATCAAACAGAATGCCATCACCCAAAGGCTTCTTCAAAAAATTTAAAGAATGAATTCCTAGTCTTCTAGAGTCATAGTTGAACAATCATTATCCCTGTGACCTTTTTCTTAAATGTTGTGTAACTGGGTTACCCTCGAACAAATCCAATACAGCTGAATCTAAGTCTTCCCATGAGAACTTGATGTACTGCTCTGGATGCCTGCCACTCTCAATGTGGCTCCTAAACCGACCAAGGAAGGACCGATATGCAGGGAGCAACTTCTCTGCTATCGATATCCTAAGCTCCTCACGAAGCTGTGTATCGGGCACTAACCATGTGGCTTGTGTCCGATGAACCTCATCAAATATCGCATTAAATGACTTAAACCGCTCTCTCAACACACTCTTGGACACCCCAGAAGAGAAGCTCCCACTTACATGTAAACCCTCATCTCTCAAACAATGCAACACTTTCACCCAAGTAGCCCTTTGATAACTAGTAGCTGCAAGCCTAAATTTACCAGTTAACCTTTTCAAGTATTCATCCCCAATCAACGCCCTCAATTCGGGTGACCCTTTAATCTTTTGCACAATATAATGAACATTATTCATCATAAACAAATGAGCCAATGATGTATCTCTATAATGTTGTGATTTCCCTTCTAAATTAAATTCCAATATAACGATTATCCATATCAAATGCAAAGCTAAAGGAGTTCTCTCTTCCTCCAACTCCGAAAAGTCGAATTCAGGCACAGATAACTCCCCGGGATACCGTGACACACTCGAAGAAGGTCTTGATACAATCAATTCAATTAAAGTCTGCTTATAATCAGATATCAAACTAATGTAATTCATCACATACCTAGTCAATGGATGAATTGTCCCACCAGGTACCGGAACCCTAGAAGGTTCCCGAAGCACGGCATTCTCAAACTCCGACAATATCCCCCTCGCCGCCTCCGCTAACCTCGACAATATCTCAGCCGCCTGAACCCTAATTGACTCCGCCGTCTTCGACTCGAACACAACATCAATATCCGGCAGCAGCTCCGCCAATGCATCATGCAAATCAAGTATCTTGAACAATTTCTCCGGCGATCGCCGACTTATACTGATTGCCTCAGCAAAATTGAACAACTGCATTGCAGGACCTTTCACTGTTTCCAGAAAACAAGCTTCGGAATACGAAGACGAAGAAGCTGGTGAAGAACATGGAGCAGTAACAGTTGAAGAATTCAAGCTCTCAAAGATCTGCTCACTCAACCTCTTCTCAGAAGCAAACAGAGTTCGAATACAAACTTTTGCAGCTTTAATCCAACGCCGGATCTTGTTCTCGAGAGCATCCCACTCTAAGCGCTGGATATCTCCGATGCTAAGCTTTTCGATTCCGAGGCTTCGGAAGCTCGCATCGACGCTAGACTTTCTTACACTACCATACACTTGGATACACTCACGGAGGTATCCGGCAGCGATCATTCGCTCCGCAATACTCCGGAGATCGGCGATCGCATCCGAAGGTATTAGATCAACCTCTCGGATACTAGTTGTCGATCTCATGCTTCTTCTCGAGGAGGAGGAAGTGGAGCCGCCTCCTCTTTCTCCACCGCCGCTGCTGCCGCCTCCGTGACCACTGTCGAACCTCAAAATCTCTCTCTCCACCTCCTTATCCACTTCTTCCTCCTCGACCTCGGCAGCAGCGGCGGTGGAGAAGCTGTCGAAGTGGTCACGGGAGGAGGATTGAGAGTGAGACCGAGGCGTATCAACTAACAAAGAATCAGAATCAACAGCAGATGAATGCGAAAGCAAGATGTTCCGAAACTCGTCTTCTAACCTAGCCATGGCGATTTGGATAGTGTTCGGATTCCGGTCGCCGGCGCCGACGGTGGAGGACGGAGATGAAATTGCGAGTGAATGAAGTGAGCGTTGGATCTCATCTACAGCACGGAGGTAACGGTCAACTTCATGGCGGTCGCCGGAGAAAATCATCTTATCACGAGCTTCTTCGGAAACAGTGGAATCCCATCGGAGAATGATCTTCTCCGCCGTCTCAACCACCTTCTCTTCGCCGGAGCCGCCATCTTCAGCTTCGCTTCGTAGCGGAGACTCCATTAACAAAGCTTCAAATTCTTCAAATCAAGGATTGATTGAAGAAGAAATTTGAATTTGAGTTTGATTTCTGAAAATTTTGGAGAGAGAAAGAGGAGAAGAAGAAGGAGAAAGGTTTTTTGTCTGAATTTGTAAAATTTGGGGGTTTAGAAATGTTTTTTTTAAAAAAAAAAAAAAAATTGAAGAAAGAAGTGAAATTATTTTAGAAGGTTTACAAAAATAAAAAGAAACAAAAAGAAAAAGTTTGACAAATAAAAAAATGGTGAATGTTGTCATAATTAAATTTAGTGAGAGGATATTCTGGCGAAGTTGGCGGCCCAAATTTCCAATTGGGTGGTAGAGTAATTATTTTTGTGTTGCATGGTTTCTATTACACTACCATAATTGTATTACTCTAAAGTCTAAACTCTAGTTGTTTTTTTTTTTTTTTTTTTTTTTGAAAAAAAATGTGTTCATGTTTGATTATCAATGTTGTATTGGGGATTTATGAAATACCTTAAAGGGGGTATGGATTTCCTTAGAAGACTGATCCGAAATGCAATACTCATACGGCCTGGACACTTACAAAATAACGAATCTCCGGTTTATCGGAGATTTACCTCTAACGATTAAGTTTAAAGTACCCCAAAACAAGTGTTATTGTTAAACTGACTAAAATTATAATTACTATACTTAATTAATGAAGTTTTAAAATCGTGTGCAAGTTATATATATTTTTGATACCGTTATATAGACTACTTAAAGCAATAATAATGACTACGCATATTGAACAATACGTGCTATGGAGTACAGCACCATATTTAATGATAGACTTTTGGACATGGACATGTAAGGATTCAAACTTGCTAGTCGTGTGAGGATTTCAAAAAAAATATAGATTATGAAGTATGTTCCAAATTCTACAAATTAGGTTATGATGATCACGAATGATGATGGATAATGCTTTCACATTATTAGCAATAACAACCAATATCTTGTGAGATCACAACTCACAAGTCACAAGATTGAGAAATAATGGTATATTTTCATCGCTATAAGCCTATAATAAGGGATATAGCTAGAGGTAGATATTAGATTAGGAAAGGTATGGAGAAGAACGATCAAACAAAAGTAACGTATAGTAGTAGGAACTAGTAGTAAATTACTAAAATGCCATTTACGCACCATATCATGTCTCACAATCAAACTATTAAATCTTAGCTTGGATTTTTTTCTTCTTTTTATCTTCATGCACTTTCGTCACTAATATACATTAATATTGATGGATGTAATTTATCTATAATACAGTGTTTGGATTGAAATTTGCTACTTTAACTCATTGTTTAATTAACTAAACTTCATTGATATTTCAGTAACAAATCCAAAATGAAAAGTACATAATATAAGTTAAGGATAGTTTCAGATTAGAAAGATACTTTTAATAATTGATCCACCAGTACCAAATAATAAAAATTTTAAAAATATTATCCTTTTATTTACTTAACTTGTAAATAGGTATTCTTTTTGTGGTAAGAAAAGACGTAAATCAAGTATTTTAAGTTTCATTTACAATACAATTATATTTGTGGATTATTCTACTATCATTTTATGTATAATCGGTTATACAATTATACCTTATTTATGGTACTACCAATACTATTCATTTGACATGTATTCAGTCATAACTTTAATTGTACCATGCAAGCTACCAAAGATTCTATTATAATTAAAGCAAATGGAATTGCACCTAAAATTATAACTACTACTTATAACAACCTATAGGTTTGTTGTTGGAGGTCGTAATTTAAGCAAGTTGCCTCATCCGAAATGATCATTATCTGAGATTTTTAAAATTTAGACTTAAACTACATATTGTTTAGATTATATTGACCAATATGAGTTAATGAATTGAAAAAAGGGGCAAACAAGCTAAGCTAAGCTAAGCTAAGCTACAAGACAAGAAGTCATACAACCACTATAAATAATTTTGTTGGTCCCAGTCATATCATTATCATTATAATTAATAACAACCCCTCTAAAAAGGTTATTAGTAATAAATACGATTTCATTGTGAGGGAAGAAAATAATGGTTCATCCATTATTTGCGTATATTAGTTGTAGAAGCTTTGGCTAGCGCTTTGTTTGGAAAATGATGGAGCCAATAAATGGACATATTCTTAGAGTTTTTTCGGTTAGACTTTTTGTTCGTGAGGTAATTATAAAATCATCGTTCAAATCCTTAAAATTAATGAAATACAATCAAACCTTAATCTTTACCCTTTTTTTTTTATTCGGTATTCACGGACAGACATTTTGAGAGTGATGGGGGGAAGGATAAGGGATCTCTACCTTTTAAGTAGCTCTAGTGAAAATTAAACCTCCAACCTCGTAATTGAAAGATGTAATCTTTTTTATTAGACCAAACTTAGGGCATGTTCTTATTGACTGAACTCAGCTGTACTGAATTGAACTGAACTGAACTAAGCTGAACTGAAATGAATATTTTATAAGAGAAGGAAATTAGGAGCTGAACTGAACTGAACTTGAACTGAGCTGAACTGAACTGATCTAAATTGAATTGAATTGAAATGAATATTTTATAAGAGAATAAAATTAGGAGCTGAATTGAATTGAATTGAATTTCAACGTTGAAATACACATTAACTGCGCAGTATGAATTATTTGCGGACAAATTGTATAGTGGATAGCTCTGGCTAGCAATTGGTGGAAAATGATGTAGAGCCAGTAACCGGGTGTGTTGTAGTACGTGTAATGTCCTAAAATCATAAATAAAGAAGTATTAATATTGCAAAGATTAAGAAAATGGGACAAACTTACATAATAGAGAATCACGAGGGAATTATATAAAAATCCTCGAAGAAATGGTTAATTGGGTTAAGCCAGCTAGATTTGCTGTTGAGCCAGCACTCCGGTGCATTATTTTTTGCGCACTATCATCACTAGACACTAGCTAAGCTCTAGTTCACACACACATCAACTTTAATTATGTAGTATAGTGTTTGGTGATTTACATTATTTTTGGGTACCAATCTCTTTGGACATTACAAAAAGATTCTAAATTTGCACGGGTTATTACTCGTTCCATCAATAATACTTCTTCCAATCACAATTTTTTACTAAGCCGAATTTTAAATGGTGGTTTGTGAACTTTACTTATAATAAATCGTAAATTTTTTAATTAGATTAAAAAATGCGAATTGATTAAAATAGGAGATCCTTGTGAATTGTGATGAAGAATAAAATACGAAGTATTTACTAATTTGCATTTTTGTAGACAACAAATTAAAAGACTTTTTATTCTCATAAATTTTGATTTATGTCAATTAAATGACTTATGTAGAGAAAATAACGAATGAAAAGGACATTATAGTCATAAAAATTTATAATTACAAATTATTATAACTTCATATTTTGAGACAAATCTAAAACACTTAATATACGTTAAATATGGCTATGAGCCGTACTCGTCATTAAGAGAGACAGTTTACTTTACAAGTCCAAATACGAAGTATGACAATAAAAAGAGTAGTCTTTTAGCATATAAAGTATATACTTACATGTGTTTTTTAGAACACTATAACTAGGGCTGTCAAAAGCTGACACGACACGAAAACTCGACACGAACCCGACACGAAATAAGCGGGTTTGGGTCAAGTATTCTCGACCCGTTTACATAATTGGGTCGACACGAACCCGACACGAAATTAAACGGGTTAGGTTTGGGTTGAAATTTTCAACCCGAAACCGACACGCGTAACCCAATTATATAAATGGGTTGAACGACAACCCGCTAACCCGAACCCGACACGCTTAACCTATTAATAAAGTAGTAACAAAATCCGAAAATTTTGTTCTAAACTTGTAATTTTGTAAATTGCCTTGGCACCATGTATACATTTAGGTAATTTTTGGCGGATAAAATAAATTTCAACTTTTGTAAATTAAAATTTGGCTGTTAATTTGGGACAATTCTTATGTATGGTTGTGCTGCTAAAGCAACCAACTTTAAATTCTTGTAGTACTTTTTCTATAATTACTAACTTTAAACTCTTGTAGTATCATTAATGAATTAATGATGTATGTCTATTTGGGAAATTCTCAATGGTACTCTCAAGCTTTTTATATTTCTCAATGGTAAACACTAAAATATCAAATTATCAATGGTAATCCATAATTTATAAAACTAATTCAGTGGTAACATTAGTTAAGCATTTTAAAAAAATATTAACCATGGTTTATGTTTTTAAAAGGAGGAAAAAGAGAAATGTCTAAACTACCCTTTTTTACAAAAACCCACCACCACTTCTTTCCCCTGCCACCTCTGCCCGGCCAGCCTAATTCCCCTACTCCCAGCCGACGCCAGCTATGCCCACTAAGATCCCCTCCCCGGCGCCGGCGCCACGTTGAACCCCCTACCTCTTATCGCTGCAACCACTAAACCACCCATTCCCCAACAGCCCAGCACCACCGCTTTTCAACGCCCCTGGCGTCGGCGCAACCAAAACCTTCCTCGTCGTGCTGAACACCGAACCACCCAATCCCTTCGCATAAATCCATCTACCTCCCCCCACGAAACACCCTAAAACCATCAACCCACCTTCGAAAAACCCTAATCAGCCCTCCCCGACCATTGCTAGGGTTCTGGTGGGGGTTTTTCGAGAGTTGGGATGGTTTTTAGAAAGTTTAGGGTTCCGTGGGGGTAGGGAGGAGTTGGTGGTTCGTGGGAACCAACGCAAGGGGGTCTGGGCGCAATCGGCGCCGGGAAAGGGGGATCGAGGTTGGGCTGGGCTTGGGTGGTGGCTGGCGGTTGACTAGCTGTGGTGGCTGGCGATTGGGTGGCTGTGGTGGCTGAGGGAAATTGTAATAATTTTTTTTTTTTAATTTTTTTAAAATAATTTAATTGTTAAAAAAATAAAATAAAATCTGATTTTTAAGGATATATTTGTCATTTTGCCTTTAGTTAACTATAGTTAGGCTTAAAATTGTAGATTAATTTCATTAATGTCACCATTTTATTAATAACATAAATTGTTGATTACCAAAGATAATTCGAATTTTTGATGTTTACCATTGAGAAAAATAAAAAGCTTAAGAGTACTATTGAGAATTTCCCTTAATTTTTATATTGAATATTATAGTTTATTACATACTATATGGGTAAAAGGTTACACGGGTAACCCGTTTAATAAGCGGGTTAGGTTTGGGTCAAGGGTTTTCAACCCGTTTAATAAATGGGTTAGGTTTGGGTCAAGGGTTTTTCACCCCGTTTAACATCGACACGAACACAAACCCGACATGACACGACCCGTTTGACAGCCCTAACTATAACTTGACCGCAACTTAAAATAAAAAATGAGCTAATACTAGCTCGGCCCATAGTATAAAGCTAGCTATGAGGCCGGACATTGTTATGTGGGCTTGTATTGATCAATCAATGTATTGGCTCAACCGCTGAATGGCTAATTATCAGCAATATAAGTGGCTGATCTGATTAACCAAGCGTAAAAATAATAGTTATAGAATTGAGGTTTTGTCTTTGATATGTTACCTCGAAGACATACAAATAACCAGCTTAGCTTAATGACAAAAACTGAATGATGTATTTATTGAAGTCAACTACTCGTAATATCCAGCCTAATTAAGCCGACATCCACGTGCATGCATGCATGCTTTGCACGTACCCAAA